TGGGTGAGGCCATATCTTTTATTGGATTGATTTCTGTCAGTGAGAAAGGCAAGATTTCATGCACCCTGAAGTAATCTAGTAGCATTTGCTAATGTCGCAGTAACTCCTTTCAACCATTGAAAATGACAGTACCACTTATGAACCAAATCCAATGCCTATTGATGTAAATAGAGTATTGGGTCATGTTCTAAAACCACTATACTCTAAGGATACATCTACACTGCACACCTATTTCTAAATGAGCTATTCTGGTATAGTTATTCTGCAATAGCTTATTTCAAAATAGTACATCTACACTTCAGGGAAGCCTCAAAATTAGTCAAAGGCAGGCTTCCCTAATGTAGACACACTATCTCAATTTAGAGCCCCAGGAAACACTGGGGAGGAATAACTAAAAATGGTCCTGGTAAGGGGCTATTTCAAAATAGCAGCAGAGAAGCAACTACACATGCCTTATTTCGAAATAGCTGTTTCGGAATAGGCATTATGCCTAATAGATTTACAGATTTCGGAATAAGATGCTCATTATTTCAAAATTATTTAATGGAATGGTTGTGCCCATTCTGGGCAAAGAGCCAAGATATCAGTGGATCCAGAACGAAGAGCTAGGGCAAAGTTGTCGAGGAAAAAAAAAGGACTGCCCTTTTTGCCCCTTTAAAAGGAGCCTCCGATCACATTTGGTCAAGAGAGAAAAAAAAGCTTGGCCCCTTTAAGAAAACACATTTAAACGTGTTAAGAGGCTTTTTGGCCACTTTAGGCTCTCGCCGGCTGACACCATCTTTAATTATACATCTTTAATGGCCATGCTGGATGACCCTGCCCAGGTCAGCACAGGGAGCTGGGAGGAGAGAGCCGTTTTTGGGAGTGCAGGGGCAGCTTATGAGCCACGGCGGGGGGGAGGGGCGGGGGTGGGGAATGAAACCCTATCTTTTAATTAAAAAGATAGGGGGTCGTCTTATACGCCCAGTCGCCCTATACGCCGGAAAATACGGTAGTTATCTCAAAATAATGGTGCAGAGTAGATGTACCCTAACATAATGTTCCATTCAAAATTCAGGTTCATATCAACTGTCCTCAAAGATGTGATGGTTACTTTACTTTGGTTAAGTATACCTGGGAGAGGGAGGCACTGAGAAAAAACAATTGCAATTTTTCAGAGTATAACTTTGTTTTTGTTTCCTGTCTTCTTTATAATTCTACTTTGTGCCTTTTATTAATTACTTATGGCTCTCTTTACAACTGAATTTCTAGTCAGAAACAGCCCTATTGTGTAAAAGAGATTGCTAAGTCATAAAGCTTTCATAGTGTCATAGAAATGCAGAGCTGGAAGGAACCTTGAGAAGTTATCAAGTCCAGCCCCCCGTAGCTGAAGTAGGACCAAGTAAACCTAGACCTCCCATGACAGATGTTTATCCAACCTGTTCTTAAAAACCTCCAGTGACAGGGATTTCATAATCTATCTTGAAAGCCTGTCTCCATGTTTAACAATACTTCTAGTTAGAAAGTTTTTCCTAATACCTAACCTAAATCTTCCTTGCTGAAGATTAAGCTTATTTCTTCTTGGCTTACACCTTCAGTGGACATGGAGAAGAATTGATCTCAGTTTTCTTCATAACAGATGTGAACATACCTGAAGACTTATTGGGTCACCCTGCATCTTCTTTTCTCAATACATAACATGCCCAGTTGTTTTAACCATTTCTCACAGGTCAGATATTCTAAGATTTTGTCATTTCTTTTGTATTCTCTCCAATTTGTCCATATCTTTCTGAAATACAGCACCCAGAATTGCACACAACACTCCAGCTGAGGCCTCCCCAACACCAAGTAGGGTAGGACAATTACCTCCTGTGTCTGACATGCAACACTTCTACTAATATACCCCAGAATGAGATTCCCATTTTTTTGTTTTTGCAATTGCATCACATTAACTCGTATTCAATTTGTGAGCCACTGTAGCCCCCAGGTCCTTTACAGCTGTACTACCACATATTTTGTGGTTGTTATTCCACGTTTTTTAGGTGTGCATACTTGGTACTTGCTTTATTGAATTTTGTCTTCCTGGATTCAGACCAATTCTTTAATTTGTCAAGGTTATTTTGCATTCTAGTTCTGTCCCCTGAAATGCTTGCAAGCCCTCCCGGCTTGTTGTCATCCACAAGTTGTATAAGCATATTCTCCACTCCATTACTCAAGTCATGAATAAAACGTTGGAAAGTACCAGACCCAAGACTGGCCTTTGCAGGACCTCACTAGTTACACCTTCCCAGTTTGACAGTGAACCATTGAGAACAGTAACACATGGCAGCAGAAGGAAGAAAGGCACTGGCCTCGACTCTCCCCACCCACTTACTATGCCCCTGCCCTGCTCTTGCTCCATCCCTCCCCATGTGCTTCTTCCCAGCACTTCCCAGAGCAGCATGGCAGGAAGCAGCGCTGGCCCTTCTGCTGGCTGCTGGCCAGCCCTCCTTGCCTTAAGGGGGCACGTGGCCCTGTGTGCACCCCTACATGTCACCTGAGTATGGTCTTTCAGCTAGTTGTGCATCCCACCTAATAGTAATTTCATATAGATCATATTTCCCTAATTTGCAAGTATAAGTAGAACTGTGTCAAAGGCTTTACTAAAATAAAAAATGTCACATTTACTTCTTCTTCATCATCTTCTTCCACACTAACCACTAGGCAAGCAACCCTAATAGAGGGAAATTAGATTGGTTTGGCCTCATTTGTTCTTGACACATCCATGCTGGGTATTCCTTATAACCCTTTGAAACTGATCTTATAATTTGTATACATCAAAGTTAGCTTCTTGCAATAAGATATGTGTTTGCAAAATGCATTAGGACTAAACTTGGAGTTATACTTCTCCCTGAGGCCAGAGGGAATAGGATTAAATATATTTCTGGAAGCAGTAGCACACTAGATTCATCTAATAATGATAAAAGCAAAAATTACTGTATCACCAGGTGCTGACACATTAATAAACAAGGCAGATGCTGTTTCAAAACATAATCTTGCTGCATAAAATCTTCAAATATTTTCATTCATTTTCCTCCTATCCCTGAAAATATTTACATCAACCAGGAAATGTCAAACAACATTTCCTCCTTCTCTTTAATCAGCGATATTTTCACTCATACTTCAATAGAGAGAGATGATTTTATGCAAATTTACTTGTGGCTTTACTTCATCCCACCACTTGTGAACTATGAAATCATCCCTAGCCTGGGAAAATACTTTTCTTACAAACAGCAATATGTGTACATGCTTCTTCTCTTGCTCTTGTAGGTGGGAGTATTAAAATTCTGTTTCTCGGGCTTTTTGTTATTTTTGTATGACAATTTTTCATTTCTGGGGTTCAATGAAGTGAGGTCTCAGTTTGTGCCCTTTAGAAACCACCGGCCTTGAGGATATAGAATTATAACTAAACTATATTTATTGTCCTTTTGGGAAGAAACAGAGTACACTCACAATCTGTATTATAAGGGCTTGATTCTGATCGCATAACAATTCAACAGTGGTGTGACCCTGCCCCCTGGTTTCAGTGGAATTACTCCCAATGTACAAAGGAGAAGAATCATGTAGGGACCTAAATCCACCTGTTACGTATGGGCAGACTGATAGCAACACCTGTGGTACGGGCTGCCTAAGTCTTTCCATTATGTGAGCCTATTTTCAGGGGCTTATAACTTCAGTACATTTTTATCACTGAGACTGGAATTTTCTCAGATGTATGTCTGCCTCGGGCTGAATTTGTTTGTTTAAGTTTCAACCAAAATAGTTCAGCCATTTCCAAGAACAAAAATCAGGAAAAACACAAACTGTTTTGCCCACATAAACACATTATTACAACTATTTCATTGAGAAGCTCTAGCACTGTCATGCCTTGGCACAGGGAGCCTGCTGGTGTCAGGATGCACCTTTTGTTGTTCTTGTGAAAATTCACCCAAATTTGACTACTTTTGAAAAAAGTGTCAGTTTGCTTATGCACAGGAGGGATTTGTTAAAAGCTTGCAGCTAAATTTGTAAGATTTTGTACTACTGGGCTTCTTCCATTCTCACATAGCTCCTCACATCCCTACAAAGCAAGTGACCATACTCCACTCAAAAGGTTTCAGAGCCTGG